AACAATAAGAAGAAGGAAAGAGAAGGAGAAGAGAGGAGAAGGGGGAGGGGATAAGGTTGAATTATATAAAAGATAATAAAAACAAACATAAAACCACATATAAAGAAGTCGGTCCTAACCAACCTGCTGGCTTTCTTGGTAAAGGTCTCTGGATAGGTTTAATCTCCTGGCCCTCCTGGTTCTTCTTGGGGCTGGCCTGCGTGGGTCCTGGGGCAGATGAAGCTGCAGGTTGCGAGGGTTGCAGCTCGCCAGCAGCCATCGTGGAAGTAATATCCGTAGAAGTTAAGGCCGGATCGGGGCTGAAGGAGGCTGGCCCGTCACCTTCGGTTACATCTAGTCTCTTTGATTCTGGGGTTAATCTCACAGCCTTAGGGTGCAGTATTTTAGGGTCCTGTTGCAGAGAGAGAATAGTTCAGAGATAAGATATGCTTCCAAAGCCCTCTTTCCATCTTCCACTGCATTATAAAATATCTATACCTCTAAAAATCAATAAAGAGAGATTAATTAACCCCATTTTTCTATAGCTATGTTAATTAGTAATTCATGAATACAAAAACTCAGTTTACCTGTTCAACAGCTGACTTTTGGAAGTCAAAATTAACAGGTTTTAAACCTGGTGACGAAAGAGTGCTGGTGGGAGAATCTACAAACTTTGTCCACTGAAGAGAAAATATAAATTTTAAAAATGAAGAGACACTGTATATTGAAAATTATAAATGCAATTTCATTATATGACACATACAATACAATACCAAAAAAAAAATATATATATATATATGCAAGGGATACAATCACCTGAACTTTTTCATACATTCAAATATGAGTGTCCAATGGATATTTTACAATTAATCATCCAATATCACATTAATTACATTCAGCACACACCTAAACATACCATACACACTGTTCACTTCACACCTATAGAAAATACCCATCAAAATCTAAATATCTCTTACCGCACACACCTCCTTATTTCTGGATGGTGAGAGTGGATCTGGAGTGGCTTTGGCAGTTGTTTCAATATCGGCAACAATAGTATGGGCAACGACAGAGGAGTTTCCTGACGCCCCAGAATTTCCACCTTCCACACCACTACTGCTGCTCTTCCGCTGAGGTTGTTCAAAGTCAGTGTTATTAAAGAAACCTCTGAAGCCTTGAACACCCATACATGCAAACACAAATACACACAAATGGCACACAAATGCCCACACAAAGGCCCAAGGTTAATGGCTAGAATAGTTGCATTCCCCTGGTGAGGACAAGACAATTTGCTCCTTTTTACGTCTTGTCAAAAAAAAATGTTTGGGAAAAAACAGTGGTTTCACACACATTATAGGGATTATTCCTCTCAGTGATGGAGAGATCAAATTAACCAAATTGAATTTGTTGTGAAAGTGTTCTTTTTCTAAAATGCATTTTTCCCCCCTTGTTGCAAAAGCATTGATGATGACTCACATTTTCCTCTCTGACATGGAAATCCAGAAGGCTCTGGATGGTTGTGATGGTGGTTATGATGGAACAGAGGATGAGAGGACTCAAAAGGATGAATTTAGCCTGATTAGCTACCTCTCTTCCTAATCCCACATCCTCCCTCCCTACCCCATCTCCTGATAATGTGTTGCCACCCATTTTGTTAGCTCTGTAATTTTTCATCACTATTTCATTCTTTTATCATAAAAGTTTTGGGAAGGTTCAGGTGCATGTATATTGTCTTTTATGATAACCTATGAATATTTAGACACTTTCATGGTTATCTCTACAAAAGGGACACTTTCCAAGTCTGACAAAATTAATCATTTTTCTTTTGTTTTACATCTTGCCCCTCATCTGGTTGTTGGGAGCCAAATCCCTATCACTCCACACTCAAAAGACCAAAAAAAAGAATTACCCTGATTTTAAAAAAAGAAGACCATAATTTTTCTTTCAATCAGTATAACCAAAAAGAGGTTCATAATTTTGTATATTTTCATGACGTACAAGTTTTTCACTAATCTTTTCCTAACCAAGACAAACCTAAGTGACCAAAAACAGAACTACTCACTTTTGAAATCTAGAATTTCGGCTCATGTGTCCTGGGTTAATTAATTAATAGTGTTTAAAATCTGCAGTATAAATACTTTCCAGTGTTCAAAACAAGCTTTATTGTCAAGATGTCATTTCATTTCAACTAGTTAAAAAAAAAAAAAAAGTTGGCTATGGCAACTGGAAGCCAATGGACAAAATCACTTTCTTTTTCACAAGAGTTGTGATAATAGTCAAAATGTTCTAATTTCACACTGAGAGAAACAAACAGATACTCATTTTCCATCTTACCTGCATTTGTGGAAAAAGTGAAGGTGGGAGAGATTCTGGAAGTTCTATATTATTTCTTCGTAAAACCACCAAGTGCATGGCAGTGAAAAACTCTTCTAAGGAGAGTGCTCCATCCCTTGTGACATCTGCTAGTTGCCTGCAATAATGACATGTGGTCAAATACAAATATATTTCAGTACATACACGATATCTGTCCATGAACATTTCCTTCCTTTATTCTGATGCCATATCAATTTCTTACACAACTATAATTGAAACTTTTTAGTTTCATTTCTCTTTTTCTTTTCCAAATTTTTATAACACTATCATCCTTACCATATTTTACTTAATTCATTAACTGGTAATTTTGACTTCTCAAAAAATTCTTTGGCAGCTGTTCCAGACAACAGCGCTGTGAGATCAGACTGCATAGATCGAAACTGTTCCGTGTAATACTGTCGCTGCTCCTCGTTTATGGTCCACACATCGTAATCTTCATCATCAGAGGAGTGACGCTCGGATGAGTCTTCTTCTGTACCTAATAACTGCCGGTGCTCATCATTTACTGGGGAAGATATTGAATATTAGCTAGGAAAGCTGTGTGTCATATTAGATACTTTCCAGATGATGAATGAAATTGCTATGATGAAATGAAAGTTATATGCAATATATCAGTCAATAAGAAGTCTACATACTAATAACCAAGAAATTTTATACCAATAACCAAGAAATTCTATTTCTATATTATTCTGATTTGGATGCAGTCTGATTCTCTCTCAATGTATTACATTTACTTTTGCTCAAAATCAAATTCTAAAAAACACCTGAAAATGTTAACATTTTTTTCAGTATTCACATACAATAAACACAATTTCACATTTTAATCCAATTCTGAGAAAGTATCTTTTACATCCATGAACTTTGCAAGTGCAAACATTCACACACACACATACACACATACTATACACACTACATGCACACACTAACTCACTCCCTTACTAATTTGCACACTCTAACCCACTATCTCACTCACTCACTCACTCACTCACTCACTCACACTCACTCACTCACTCACTCACACACTTACTCAAACTCTCTCTCTCATACACACACACACACACACACACACACACACACACACACACACACACACACACACACACACACACACACACACACACACACACACACACACACACAATCTATCAATCAATCACACACAAACAACCACAAACACACTCACTCACTCATTCACTCACTTTCTCACACACACACACACACACACACACACACACACACACACACACACACACACACACACACACACACACACACACACACACACACACACACACACACACACACACACACACACACACACACCACACACACACACACACACACACACACACACACACACACACAACACACACACACACACACACGCACGCATAAACAAACTTACACACCCACAAACAAACAAAAACACACAAATAACAAAACACACACAAATAAACAACACATACACACCCATACCCACCCATACCCATACCCATACCCACACACACACCCATACTCACACACACACACACACACACACACACACACACACACACACACACACACACACACACACACACACACACACACCACACACACACACACACACACACCACACACACACACACACAACACACACACACACCCATACCCACATACACACACACACCCATACCCACATACACACACACACCCATACCACATACACATACACACCCATACCCCCCCCACACCCATACCCACACACACACCCACACACCCACAGCCACCCACACTCTAACCCCTAACCCCCAACCCCCCCCCCCAACCCCTCCTAAGCCCGCGACTCACTGAGGCCGTGCCAGTGGGCGTGCGTCTGGCCCCAGCTCTTCTCGTGGACGCTGTTGGTGGGCGGGCGAGTCGGACGCGGCGACGAGACGGAGGGCGAGTGCGACACCATGCGGCCGGACGGGTCGCTCATGCGCTCGTCCGCGCCCTCGCCGTCCTCGCTCTCCATCATGCGGTAGCCGCCATCAACCATCT